TATCGGTTTTATATGATGGTGCGTGCGTTTTATACCACCAACACGACTTTTCTAGCGAGAAAAATTAAAACCTTGAAAAAGTAAAAAACTTTTTTTTTATAATTTCGCAATTAATTTATAGAACGTGCCAACGGCAAGGAAGCAGCTTGAATGGTTCAGAAGTAGTCCATATTTTATTATTAAAGTAGCTGCCTGCTTAATTTCGAGAAATTCACGGAAAAAAATGCGCAAGTATGACCGTTTAGTTTCAAAAACTTTAAAATAGGCGTATTAGTTTAAAATTGATTTGAAATAAGCAAGACAGCAAATATATCATCCGCGTAAATTATCCAATAAATATCGCCGTTGGTACGTTCACATTATACAATAATGATATTATTATAATTTAGGTATGTCAAAAAACTAATACAAACCGTTAATTTCAATTTCCAAATATGCATCGCTATTAAACGCCATAACATATTATTATTACTACCGACTTGCGATAAATTACGCCACGTCGCACAATATTGTGTTTGATATTATATTTTACGATCGCTGGTCACACACTGTGTGCAAGTTAAAGCCATTATTATAATAATATTATTATGATATCCGTATAATACAATCGCCGCAATCGTTTTACAACTTGTGGAATAACCGCAGTTCAGATATATTATTTTAATAATTGTTTTTCGATTGATGATTATTATTGTTGTTATTAAAATTGTTACACTTCTACGGCCCTGCTAACAACAATGACTTTAATGACAATAATGTATAATTTCGTATAATTTACAATAATATATGTTTACATTGATATTATTGTTGCCATTATGATTTGCAAAAACAGATTTTTTCTCTTTCTGTGGGCCAATCTCGTTGAACAACACATAATTATCTAGGTAAGCGGGTTATTTTCGTTCACTATGATTTTTAAGCGTTTATCGAACTTTTCCGAAATCTGAATTCAATATAATATACAAAATGTTGGGTGATTTGCTGACCAAGCTCAACCGCTTTTTTTAATAATACAGTTATTCAAAATCTGTTTTTGGAATTTTTAAATATAGGTACCTACTTAAAGTTTGACGGTCTGCACATTATTTTCGAATATTTGAGATTTTCGGTATCATTCCCCTTTTCAAAATACTTATGAGAGCCACCCTTTTTTACTTTAAGTTATTCAGCTGACGGGTTTCGTTCAAATGTTGATGTATCGAAATCAAATCTCAAACGAGTAGTTTCTGAGTTATTAAAAATTATAATATATGCACTAAGGATAATAAATATTATGTTTGTACTCATAAGACATTATGTAAATTATAATATCATTTAATATTTATTTAATCGAGCACTATTTTTACCTCATACTCGGTACACTAAAGTTTGTTTATATGTATATAAATTTTAATATTTCAACAGTTATTTAATATTAATATTAATAATAATTGATAAGAACCTTGCTAAACAAATATCGAATTTACATTTATTTTAAATGTATGAATAATCATAATGGTGTCCGGACCCCTGGACTAGAATGATCATGATGGACCATTATCCTTTGTACATTAAGTCTAATAAGTCAGAAACTAAACTCGTTCAAATTTCGAATTAGATTAAAATTTCCAAAAAATGATCAAATTATTAATGTAAAGCAAAAAACTGAGCGGTTTTCGATTGAAAAACAGGATTTTGTATTTACGCACCTGAGCACTCCGTGAGTGGTAAACAATTGTCAACTATATATTCGAAAAAACGTAGGTAATCTTTCGGTACCTATATTACAATATATTATTATTATTTAAAATATTCAGTTTTGAATATCTTGGCAAAGAAACTATTTTGGAGGCTATGAGTATCAACTATTATGATCGGTGAATCACTCTGTTTATACATATGTTATATTATCCAGAGTTGCAAACCAAATTAATCAGTAGTTTAATATTATTTCAGTATTTTACCGGTTAATGTAATAAATTATATTATTATTATATGTTACATTCGACGACGACTGATTCAGCTTCGGCGGGTGGGTCCCGCGCACGTGTGTGCTTGCGTCATATAACAATATTATATTGTTGTGCTCTTATGTGAGCCTCACTCGGGATCGATGTGTCGAAATTGTTTGATTCGCAAATAACGCAAAGGTTCATTGTTTGCCGCGTCCACGTAAAATCACGCGTCATCGGTCCGGCCCCATTTGCTAATTAACAAAACCTGCTAATCAGCAACTAAAGGATAACCGCTCGTACAACTATCTACATGAAGGTGGATGGGTGAGAGGGGTACGTACCGGACCTTTGCGACCAGCACCACCGTGTGTGTCCATCGGGAGTTTTTCATCTCTACCACCACCTCCACCACCTCCACCACCCCCACTCTCACAATTCGCTAAACAATCACGATTCGGTCGCGGCATGTCTCATTGGATGTTTCGAACAGCACTGCTTGTTCGCTGAAAATCAATCGTATCATATTGTGTTATCTTGTGTTGTATTATAATATTATGTTGTGTCAAATCCGCAGCAGAGTGTGACACGCAGCGTATCACGACCATTCGGCAAATCACCTTTGTTTTTGATTTTGGGATCAAAAAAAAAAAAAAAAATTAATTAAAAAAATTGTCGTCTTGGCATTTGTGGATGACGTGGTGTTGTTAAAGCTAGACGGAAACAGGAGCGGATCAATTAGACGAAAAATTTGATTTTTTAATCTGCAAGTGGGTTGGGTGGAAGTGATGAAACATTTCTATAACCTCCAACGGTTTTTTATTTATCCTTAATCAGAGTACCAATAGATGCAAATTTTGAAAATCATATAGCCAATTCTTGCTAATTTTTAGTGCCAAAAATGTCTTAATGTGATGATATCGGTTGGGCAGTGTTGAGACTTATCTAGATAAGTAGTTGCATTTTATCTAAATAATTACCTAAGATAAAAAATTCATTCATCTAGATAAATTTATCTAGATAAATTCATCTCTACACAAAAAATATATAATACACATTTTGATTGTCAATTTATTTTTATGATAACTAGGAAATAATTTAAATTTGAATTGTCGAGTCATCTCAGTAAAAAAAAAAAAAAATTATGTTCATAATAATGTTATTTATTATACAGCTAGGTATTATATTTTATTATTGATATTTTCGTTAGGGGCCCGGACACGGTGATCAAATAATACCTACATTACATTGTTACGAGTCGTGTAAAATATGTAGTTTTTTCTTGATATTTATACTTAATTTAAAAAATGTTTTTTTCAGTTATACCTTAGTTATTTATTAATAATAATGTCTACTACTAACATTAATTTATACATATAGCCGGTGTTTATATAATATTTAAGTACTAAGTATCAAAGGTGTACTCTTAAAATGTTTTGGATTTCAATATGTTAAAAAAATTTATCTTTTTTTATCTAGATAATAATGTATTTATCTTTTATCTTTATCTAGATACATTTTTGTCCTTATCTTTATCTTTATCTAGATAAAAAAGTACTTATCTAATCCCAACACTGCGGTTGGGGTTAATTGATGAAACGGGGATCATTGAAATACGTTTTCGATGTCCATTTTGTTGAGACGAAAAAAAATACCAACGTGACAATTTTACTAAAAGAAAGAAAAAACGAAACCGATCCGCAGCAATGAGTCACGATGCTAAAACAAAACGATTATTTGTTTAACGATCTAAAATTGATATAATACATAACCGTTCTCATGTTATAGAAATGTCAAAAAGGGCGTATGTAATTTGTGCCAAAATCAACCAAAAAAAAAAAATATATATATGTAATTTGCGCCACATCTAAAAATGTATTTTGGTGATTTGCGCAAAATTAAATTAAATAAAAAGGAATTATGTAATCTGTGCCCTAGAGTACCTACTAAAATTGTAATTTGCGCCATTTTTCACTTTATTAAAATAGTATACGTAATTTGCGCCACTTATATTATAATGATATATGTTTCGGCTGGCACGCCCAACAATTAACTTATCAGGAGATTGCCAACAGCAGGAATTAAAATATGGAAAGTAAACAAGCGAATACCAATATGACAAATAATTGAATAATATTTGAAATACAGATAATAATACAAATGAGGTC